TGGGGTTTCTCAATATTGTATTATACCTATACACACATCACTGATTGGTGGTTGTACCCGTCTCAAAAAAATGAGTTCGTCAGATGGGATGTTTTTTCCCAATATATGGAAAAATAAAATTCATGTTCCAAACCACCAACCGGATATATATCCCACTATATAATCCCATTAATGAGAGATATATCCCATTACTAATGCTATATAGCCATCAGTAAATATATCCCATCAGTAAATTCATGTTCCAAACCACCAACCAGATCATATACATGTCCATCCTTGGTTTTTATGTCTCTCGTACTTGTACCCCAGGCCGCCACCCGACCGGCCCGAGCATCCGAGCAGGTCTTAGGACAGGCCTCAGGCTCGATACCAGGCATCCCAGCGTTTTAATTCACAATGAGTTTGTCGGTATATGCACCCATGTATGCATGCTATAGTGGTATACTATCTATATATATATATATATAGATAATGATAGTCTAAATGGTCAGATACGTTGATATACTCTATATATATATCATATACTATATATTATATGTAGTATATTATATATTATATATTGTATATTATATATTATATATTATATATTATACATTGTATATTACATATTATATATTATATATTATATGTTGTATGTTATATATTATTTATTATATATTATATATTATATATTATATATTGTATATTATATATTATATATTATATATCATATATTGTATATTATATATTGTATATTATATATTATATATTATATATTGTATATTGTATATTATATATTATATATTATATTATATATTATATATTATATACTATATATTATATATTATATATTATATATTATATATTATATATTGTATGTTATATATTATATATTATATGTTATATATTATATATTATATATTATATATTATGTTTTATGTATTATATATTATATATTATATATTGTATATTGTTTATTATATATTATATATTATGGATTATATATTATATATTATATATTGTATATTATATATTATATATATTATATATTATATATTATATATTATATATTATATATTGTATGTTATATATTATTTATTATATATTATATATTATATATTATATATTATATATTATGTTTTATGTATTATATATTATATATTATATATTATATATTATACATTATATTATATATATAATGTAATTATGCGGAATTGTTTACGACTCAACTCAACGCGGAAGGCAAATAGCCATCCCCTCACAAAGTTACCATAGGACCTTAAGGTCATTTTTTTTTCGCTGGTCCAACCCCGGCAAAACCTGACGAGTCCCTGATGCCTTGAGCATGGCAATGTGAGCGAGATCGCACTTGACTTTGTGATCCTTCACCGTGTAGAAGCTTTGAGCCTGGCCAAACCAGCAGCACTAGAAAAAGGGATGGAATGCAGGGAAAAAATGTAGATGCAACCATCTAAAAAACATTAAATAGATGATCTGACATGATTTGAACACTACCAAACAGTATTAAACATTCATGAATTTCATTGCATTACCTGACATGATCTGATATCTCATGGTGAAACCAATTTCCAGTGGTTGATCTGGGCATCTCCCACTGACACGCTTACAGCCTCAACGGACGCCTTACTTTGGCGCAATCCGTGTTGAAGCCAAAAGAAACGGAAAAAAAATAACTGGTTGGTGGTATACCTACCCCTCTGAAAAATATGAAAGTCAGTTGGAACTATTATCCCAATATATTATATGGAAAATAACAAATGTATTTGAAACCACCAGAAATAGTAATGCTCAATGCTGAGAGAATCTAAGCAGTTTCAACCCCACAGAAACTCATGTAGTTTTGTAGTTGGACTGGAAGAAAGCCATGAGATCCAAACCGAAGGTCCCGAAGGTCTCAGCACTGGCGCCTTGTCCAGCAACCAGTCTCCGCAGGTTTGTTTTCCGCAGACCTTCAGCTTCATTAAGCTTCAATCTATTCTATTGGAGATAGAGGAGATATGACATGGACTATAACTATCTATAACTTGATGGAAGCATTTGGCCAAACTATGACTATAACTTGATGGTTGATTGATGGTTAATTGATGTTAATTGATGGTTTAGCAATTTAGCATGGAGCCAAACCTCAACCATCGTTGGCCACCGGAGGGCGAATCCCCATCGATCGATAGTTCAAGCTGGTTCAAGACTCCAAGTCCTTGAACCCAAAAACAACATAAAACAACCAGAAACGTTCGTGTGTGTTTCATTGTGGCAGTGAAGATTCCCTTTGCAAATGGTTAGAACTGGGGAAACCACAACTTATCTCTGGCTGGGGGTTCAGGTTGGGAACCATAAATGGATCATCTTTAAATGCCACAGAGGTTCTGACTTATGGATGGAACAAATCCACACAGAAGGCGTCCATTTTGGAGTTCGCCGAGCTGCGCTGCTACAGGATCCCTCCAGCTGTGGTGAGAGCCACGCAGGGTGCCAGGACTTAGCATGTCTCGAAAAATTCAAGTCACTCAAGCAGCAACCCGACGCAGGTTGTGGTTCGCCTGAACCCGGAATCCATCATGAACGGCGGCCAATTTGAAGCATTACAGCACTGAAGAGTCCGTACGTGAGAGATTCCGATCACACCTTGGTGCCTGGCTGTTTCACCTGTCTTCTGGTTCAAATAGTAGACCCTGGCCAGAGGAGCGTGGCTGAGGTTTTGCGCTACCAAACCAGCATGCGCAACCGCGATCATTGCCAGTGAGTATACAATCGAAACGAACTGTTCATGATTGAACAAGGTTCGTTATCTTTTGTAATCAAACATTGCAATGGAAAAGCCCCTATAAATGGAGGTTTCAATATGATAAGAATCTTTAAATGGGGAATTTTTCATTGCAGTGTGTCATTAAACATCATCTTTGGTGGGCACAAAAAAAAAATATGTTCCGCCCCCAAAAGAAAGGGAAGAAAGCCACGCCCCGTAAACCAACCCTCCACCACGCCCACAAGATGGCGCCTTCCAGTTTCATGGTCTTTCAGTTCCTGATCCCAGCAAAATGATCAAGTTCCCTGCCCCCAAAATGGCTGGTACCCTCTGGTAATCAAATGTGGCTAGCTGGAAAATCTGCAATTGATAGTTGATTGGCCTATTAAAACCTGCATTTATGTGATTTTCAGTTGCCACGTCTGATTACCGGAGGATTTGTCATCAACATGTACATCCCCAAAATATTGGGCCCATAGGTTTTAATCATGTTTAACCCATCATCCCGCAACTTCACGAAGCACCCAAAACATATATTTCTCTCGGTCCTATAGTGTAGCAATCCCAAAAAATATCGAAAAGTAAATCCCCAAAAAAATCGATGATCATCTAACCGAATCTAACCTCTGGTAAACTAACATAGCTATTGAAAATGACCATTTATAGTGGATTTTCCCATTAAAAATGGTGATTTTCCATAGCTATGTTAGTTTACCAGAGGGTAACCTATCATGACCTTTCTATCTTTTTGGGGTCCGTAGACCTGATCTTTGTACCTTCCAGCCCAGCAGTTGGGCGGCCGTTAGAGGAAGGAGCCTCGGCAGGGTGAAACTCTGCAGGAAACCATGGGTTTTTTCCCCAAGATCGAGGGGGGTCCTGTAACATGCCCCTTAAACCAATCCAATGATACAAACCATCTCCGTAATAAGAAGCCCAAAACTGAAGAGATCCTAGAATATGCCAGACCAAGATATACCAAGACACTTCAGCCTGGGACTATCTGAATGTTTTCCCCAACTTTGAAATCCAAAAAAAGTGTGTTTCTCGATGCGTCCAGGGCATCCCTGGACTGCTATCAGTGAGTTGGCAACCTTGGACGCCGCCAACTGAGGACCCCAAACCATGGCCAGCAGAATCTCCGGGCGAATCTGCGCACGCACAGAACTTGGGTCATGGCGTTGGTGGGCAGTCACTGGTTGTGTCCCCATGGTCACTGAGTGGGCACCGAAAAATGGGGGATCTATGGGGCTTCAGAATCCAGAAATGACCCCAACGACCATCACCCACCATGTTTTTGAGAGCTGCCTCGGCACCATGGCATGGACAACAAGTGGAGCTGGGCAAACTTATGGGCGTTTCAAAGGCTGGAGAAGTAGAGCTCAAAGCAATAAGTGGGTTATATAACCATGTAGGGGTTATATCTCTACTTATGGAGGTTATTACAAGAGTCCCATTGATAACAATACATAGCTTTTCTATCGTTTGGGCCCCCTGGGCAGACCATTCGGAGCGGATCCGTTTTAGGGGATGAAAAATCACAGACTTGCTGTTGATACAGCTACTAAGCTGAACAAGTAAAAAGGCCTGACATTATTTACTTGCGTTTGCCGGATACTTACCGAAGTCTTGGGATATCGCCAAGGCGTCACTATGGCCAATACTGTGGATGCATCTGCCTCTGTCTTGAGCAAAGCTACCGGGGCGATGCAACGCAACAGCAAAATTTCACGAGGCAGCTGAACCCCAATGCACCAGCACAGCTTAGGAAATGTGTGAAGACCAAAATGAGCCCTGAAGCATGTCCATCCATTTGGGTGTGTTCCGAGTACTTTACCTGGCGCTCCACGAATCAAGGATCTAGAGTCTTGAGCCATGGCCTCTTCCCCGCGCAAATATGGAAGGAAAAATTGTCAATGTTACCCTCTGGTAATTTAACATAGCTATTGAAAATCACCATTTATAGTGAATTTTCCCATGAAAAATGGTGATTCTCTATAGCTATGTTAAATTACCAGAGGGTAGTCGATGTTATCTTCTTCATCCTCCGCCAGACCCATTGCTAATCGCCAAAGGACATAAAGAACGAGAATTGGCCACAGAAAAAATTTTCGGAGGGGTCCCTTTTTGTTGGGCTTTTTGTTGGGGATACCCCATCATCCATATCATCCATATCATCCATATCATCCATATCATCCATGTTATTTTAGGATTGTCCATGGAATCAACCATCCATTCCACTAGATAATTCTAGGACCTCTTGCACCCAGCGGATGTGCTTCGGTCGATGTACACCATCGAAGCAGGTGCCCCAATCCTACAGCCAGGGGGCTGATAAACATTGATAAACTCCTGTGGCAAACACACACAAACACACAGATACACATAGTATATATATATATAGTATATATATATATAGTATATATCTATATATATATATACACTACACAAATGTAATCGATACATGCAGCATGCAGGTATTAGAGGTATCTACTTATTCTACTTAATCATAAAGTATGTAGAGCTAAGTAACTAAGTCATACAGTCATACATCAGTACACTATGGTTCTCAGGACAAGGGAGCGGCAAAGATTGATAGCCGCAAATCTCACTTGGCAGTAAACCATCCAATTTGGCGGAAAAGACTTTCGAATCATGCCCTGTTCAACACCGTTTGGGCCATTTGGGGGGCATGCGGGGCGTCTGATTTTGAACAAATCCTCAGTCCCAGTTGCGATCACCGTCTGGCCACGCGTAAGGGCCTTGGGAATGTCGCTGGTCAGCGACAGGAATCCATTGGGGTGACCCAAGGGTCATAAGTTGTCACCTTCAGCCAGGTTCTGAAACGCGTAAACCACCCATCATCACACGATTTTTTTTCAACATGAAGCCATGATGGGCTGCTATTTGTAGCCACATCTTCACAGCAAGGGTAGGCGCAATCTCCTTGATGAATTCAATCACCCACAAACGTAACGTCCAGGACATCCCAATTCTTGGCTCAAAAATGTCAAGATCCAAATCATCTTCAAAATCAGTGGCAGTTCCACCTTCCAAAGTTCAGCTCAAAAAATCTTCACCAAGACCCTGCCCTTTTACAAAAAAGCTCTTTTCCAGCAACCAGCGATTTGGTCCAAGGGGCTCCTTGCAGCTCCACTTCCACATGCACCTGGCCTAGGAAAGCCATGCCAGGCTGGTGGGAAGCCATCCCCCATTTAGCCATGGCATTTTTGGGCCTCCAAAGTTCCATGATTCCAAGCAGTAAAACGCCAGGAAAATTTACTGGTATTTCCATGATTGGCTCCAAGAAAAAGGTAGAAGTACCAGTAAAACGCACCATCCATGTACATAAATGATGTCTGAAAATATCATCAAAATGGCGCCTTTTTGGGGGGTATGCCGCCATTTCCAGACAAAATCACAAATTGGAGAATTAGGTCTATATATCCCCATCATATCCCCATTGAATCATCAAACATAGTTTTATATCTATATAGATCGTGATAGATCATTGTATCATCTTTATATATATATATACATATATATATATGTTTATGTATATATATATGCATATATATATATATGTTTATGTGTATATATATATAGACAAATACCATCAACTACCTAAGATGAATATCAATGTTTGACCAAGTTACTACTGCGCAGGACCAGCTCAGGGCGCAAGACCGCGGCCATGGTGATGGCCTGGAGCAAAAAGTCGCGGAAAGTGGCATGAAAACATGCGGACTCCGCCGGGAAACTCATGAAAAAACATGGGAAAATGTAGGGAAACTTGGAACTTGCTTCAGAAAAATAGAACCTGACTATGGAAACTAGCGCTTTTTAAGGTAAACCCATGGTATCAGCTGTTGAAATCCGCCATGATTTGATTGGTTTTGTTGGGTAGACTCAACGTTTGACCCATACCTAAACGGCCTGGTTGATCACGTTTCCAGGCCAAAGATTCATTGAGTTTCTCACAAAAAACTTGAGTGTCCAGCATACCAAGAGATCATATCAAGATTAAGACACACAGAATTTCGGAGATCGACCATGTTCGCTGCTTAAAAAAAGCCATGTTCGGTTGGTTTCTGCCACCATTTTAGTTGATTACAGCACCATTTGGGGTTTCTGCCATCATTTTAGTTGGTGAAGTCTTCATTTTGCATGGTTCAGTCACCATTTTAGTTGGTTAAGTTATGTTAAGTCACCATTTTGCTGGTAAAGTCTCCGGGTCCATTCGCCACTCCCCGGGTCCAACGCGTGCGGAATAAAGTGCCGAAAAGCGTCGTCGCAAACGATGGCGCCAGGAGCCGACGTGAGGTTCCACAAGCCTGGCGGCAAAAATCCCATCGTGAAATCATCTTGGTCAAACATTGGGGGATTTCATGGGATATTCATCTTAGGTAGTTGATGGTATTAATCATTTTTTTACTGTGTATATATATACACATAAACATATATATATAAAGATGATACAATGATCTATCACGATCTATATAGATATAAAACTATGTTTGATGCTTCAATGGGGATATATATATATATAGCGTTTGTATATATATATATGTACACTGTGTATGTGTTTCCTATGTATTTCTATATTTGTTAGTTCATACATTTCCATGTCTATAGTTTTTTATGAGATCTCCATGTCACATACAGTTTTCTGATTGCCACAAGCTGGATAGCCCTGGTAAATCCACCACTGACACGCAGTGGATACGAGTGCTGACCACTGATCATGAAGCGTTTCACCACTCCAAACCCCTAGTCTTGGCAGGCGCTATATTCCCTTGGAAGTTGAAGAGTCCATCAACATGGGTGCCTCACTCAGATTTTGTGAACACGGGAGGATGAGCAGCCTTGTTTTTGTTGCACCCCGGCGGACGTAGACTCAATTTCTGGTCCTTCTTGCCCAACTCACCCCCTGTTCCTCTTGAGTGACTTGAGTGCTTTCAGTTTCGAGCACACAAAACAAAAGCACTTGCCAGCCGCCAAGAAATTTCATAGTTTCTACCCCCAGTTCTCCTGCTTATCACCGGTTTTTCTCTCAAAACCAACCCCTTGTTCCATCATTGGACGAATCCAACAAGAACCCCTGATTTCACCTGGTTTTTCCCAGGTCTCTGGCCTACCCCTGCGGGTGCGGGCGCCAAGTGCTGCAACAGCGGCGCCAGCAGCTGTAGAAACGATGAAGCCATGAAGGCCAAACAGCCCTCCTGACCTGTCATTGACCCTGAATTTATAGTCTAGTTCGAAGAATCCTCAGAAAAATCGGATGTCTATCTACTTCAGGATGATTATACCCATAAAGAATCATAAAGAGAGGTAAAAATCAGGATGATGCCCGCACTTTTGACAAACCTGGCGTCTGAAAATGGGGACCCCTTTTTTTAGGCCATCTTAATGGGATTTCGCTCAGCGGGATTCCGTTCCGTGGCCCTGGGTTTCCGGGTCGAAATTATGATCTACTGCTTGGTGGTTGACCTACCCCTCTGAAAAATATGAAAGTCAATTGGGATTATGACATTCCCAATATATGGAAAAAAAATGTTCCAACCACCAACCAGTCTACAGGGTGAACTGGAGAAAAATCGATGTGTTTTTGTTGTGAGCAGGGCCTTCTAGGGAATGCACGTGATCTTCTGGAAATCACGTTGATTCTGTTGGGACCTTGATCATACCTCTGCCACTCCCCCAAATTTCATGAGAGTGCAATCCCTGTTCATTCGGCATCCAGTCATAAGTCATAAGTCATAATGATTATCATTCAATGTATCATAATGTATCATAATGTCATATCCACCTTTTTTGCAGCTCAAATATACCCTCTGGTAATTTGTTACATAGCTATTGAAAATGGCCATAGAAATAGTGAGTTTTCCCATTAAAAATGGGTGGATCTTTCCATAGTTATGTGACAAATTACCAGAGGGTATATCTCAAATATCGCTCCATATCGCTCCATATCGCTCCATGTTCACCGCCGCGGGACCTCGGCTACAAGACGTGGTGGAACGTTTTTGGACCTCGGCACGGCGACCCCAAAAAATCTGACAGGGGCGTCAAAATCGAGTTTTCCCTAAGAACGATATGAAAATTCAACAAACATCTGGGAAATTCAGCAAAAAAAATTAAAAAAATGATTGAAGAAGTTCAATCAACACCAATTGAAAGCTGGTTGGTGGTGACTTAACCATCTTGAAAAATATGAGTTCGTCAATGGAAAGGATGACATCCCATATACGAAATGGAAAATAATCCAGTCATGTTCCAAACCACCAACCAGTATATAACTATCATATTCCCATTGTTGTTGGTTTATAGCATCTTTAACCACTATAAAAACCATATATGTATATATATATATATGGAAAATCCCCCATTTTTAATGGGTAAATCCACTATTTCTATGGCCATGTTCATTCAGTTTCTCCCAAGAAGTCGACAAAAAATGGCCGCCAGAGCCCAGTTGGCGAATCTGGGGCCGTTTCTGTTGTGGCTCCAGTTGGAATCCAGTGGAAAAACCATGGCAAAAACCATTGAACCTTAGAAAATGTTTAATGGGATTTATAGTGGTTTAATAGGATTTTATAGTGATTCAATGGGATATAACCAGTTTAATATGGTTTAATATGGTTTAATATGGTTTAATAGGGATGATAATGGGGTTGATAATGGGATAATGCTTGGATATTAATGGATATACCCTCTGGTAAACTAACAGTTTGCTATTGAAAATGGCCCAGTCGAAATAGTTGATTTACCTCTTTCCCAACTGGTGATTTTCTATAGTTGATGGTATTTCAACCAACTTGGTGCACAGTTGGCGCGCTGTCAGCGAGAGACATAAGGCAAATGGCTGATCTTGGCCAGGAATCTACCCACCTTGGCGCTTCACCAGCAATGGATCAAACGCTTCAAATGCACCAAACATCCATGCTGGTTTTTCAGGTGTACCCCAAAAGACATTTCAAAAGTACATCCATCTGGGTAAATGCCATCATATTTCACTAACCTGAATTGTTGGGCCAGCTATGGGGATGATTTCCCGCAACCATGATTTTCCAGTGAAGGAGAACAGTGAGGTCGTGATGAAATTTACCCTTTTTCCATGTAAATCCCCATGATGAATAGAAGAAATACCCTGTGGTTATTTAACATAGCCATGGAAAATTGCCCATTTATAGATGATTTTCCCATTAAAAGCTCCATTTATGAGGGATTTTCCATGGCTATGTTAAATAACCAGATGGTATATGGCAGCTCCTCTGAAAATATCGAACTTCCTAAACTTCCAGGCCGTCATCCCTTCCCCGCCGGCCTGGCTGGTGGCTCGCTGGATGGTGGCATCAAAGGTCCGCCAGGGCACAGTGGCGAAGGTCATCAGATCCCAACTGGTCACTGTCAGCTGGGACCAGGGCCTGGAGCCCCATGGGGATGCCATAACTGCTGTGTTTCCAGCCCATTTTTTTCAGAGGGACCTGGATGGACTTGGGAATTTGATCCTCAATTATAATCATGTGGCTGAGTTCAGATATGTATACATATATATATATTATGTGTGTATATATATTATATATATATATATTCGATGTAAAAGAATGGTTTGCTGATTGCGCCAATATGATATAATATGTGATATTCTCTTACAAATGGCCAAAGATTTGTTGAAGGGCCCATCCAAGGTTGACTTAGATAACGGAGTGCTGGGGAAATGTTAGGAACAGTTGGGAAAAGATTGGATGTTTCGTTGAAAAAAGTTGGAATGAATCCTGTTTGGCGCTGTCCATTTTGGCGATTTTGCACATCACTTTCAAGTATCTGTTCGAGAGTATATCCCTAATAGTTGTGTGATGTTCACTTAGGATATTTACCAACCCCTGTAGTTTATTGGGGCGTGAATTAATGGGAAATGTGGGCTACTACTATGTTGAGCCCACTTCCTTTTCTCGGCAACTTTGGGTTTCTGCTTTGACTTTTGGCAGGTCAAAACTCCATTTTTGGGGGTAGGTTCTAAACTAAATTCGACATGTTGAAGCATGTGCTTACTGTACTTGTTGGAATCAAACCATGTTTTCCCCGATTTGCATCGGAATGTTGAAACAAAAATCCTGAAATTGGCTGGTAGGAATATGGTTGACTGATTTTTTTTCTCAACCAATCCATTGACTTGTGGTTTACCCTGAACGTTCCATGAAAAATCCCATGTATCCTCTGGCAATTTGGTCCATAGCCATAGAAGCCATGGCCCATGTCGTTCGATGATATGCCGTTTCTTTTTGCATGGTGATGTTCCACAGTTCTGTCATGTTATGTCCAATTATCAGAGGGTATACCCATTGTCCACCATTGCTGATTCGTAAATCCCATTAAATCCCATTGGAATACATCAAGATCCCAAACTGTTTGGGTATCCCATTCATATCCCATTATTATTCCATAAATATGATATATCAATATCCCATTCATATCCCATTATTATTCCATAGATATCATATATATATATATCATATATAAAAATAATATTAATTATTCCACAAATAATCCCATTATAATTCCTATTATATATATATATCATATATATATATCACATATATATATATACATATCATATATATATCATATATTATATTTAATTCCCAGGTATATCATATATCCCATTTTAATTATTCCATCATATATTTGATCCATTAATATTCCATAAATATCCATAATAATTTATAATTCCTATCATATCATATATATATAATGATATTAATTATTCCACAAATAATCCCATTATAATTCCTATTATTATATATCATATATAATATATATATATCATATATTTGCTAACGGGTGCCAAACCGTACGTGTAGTTACACACATTTTCAACATGGGGTGGGGTGGGGTGGGGTGGGGTGGGGATGTTAACGTTCGGTTGCAGTTGAACACGCCACGCATGCTACGCTGAGCATGTGGTGGGGTGGAGATGTGAACGTTCCGTTGAAGTTGAACACGCCTCTGCTGCTACGCTGATCATGTGGTGGGGTGGAGATGAGAACGTTCGGTTGAAGTTGAACACGCCTCTGCTGCTACGCTGATCAGGTGGGGTGGGGTGGGGTGGAGATGTGAACGTTCGGTTGCAGTTGAACACGCCACGCATGCTACGCTGAGCATGTGGTGGGGTGGAGATGTGAACGTTCGGTTGAAGTTGAACACGCCTTGCTGCTACGCTGATCATGGGGGGGTGGGGTTCGGAGATGTGAACGTTCGGTTGAAGCACGCCTCTGCTGCTACGCTGATCATGGGGTGGGGATGGAGATGTGAACGTTCGTTAGCATTTGAACACGCCACGCATGCTACGCTGAGCATGTGGTGGGGTGGAGATGTGAACGTTCGGTTGAAGTTGAGCACGCCACTGCTGCTACGCTGATCATGGGGTGGGGTGGAGATGTGAACGTTCGGTTGAAGTTGAACACGCCACTGCTGCTACGCTGATCATGGGGTGGGGATGGGGTGGGGTGGGGTGGGGATGTTAACGTTCGTTAGCATTTGAACACGCCACGCATGCTACGCTGAGCATGTGGTGGGGTGGAGATGTGAACGTTCGGTTGAAGTTGAACACGCCTCTGCTGCTACGCTGAGCATGTGGTGGGGTGGAGATGTGAACGTTCCGTTGAAGTTGAACACGCCTCTGCTGCTACGCTGATCATGGGGTGGGGTGGAGATGTGAACGGGTGATGGTTTCAATGCCAAGATCAATCAATACATTCGATCCTGGCAATGGCGTTGGGAAAACGCTTTGTGTCCTGACCTCATGAAAAAAACCGCAGAGGTCTACATGCACAATGATCAATGAAAGTGGCAAGGCAAAAAAGGTCCGAAATTTGTGCTGTAAGGGTTGCAAAATCAAAGAAAAATGACCTTTTTTGGGAACATTTTTTTCCTGATCAGAAGGCCACGAAACACTGAAAGGGTTGTCATTTTTTTCAGCATGTTGATGCGCCTACACGCGCGATTCCGCACCCGGCGGGATATATTTGATCCCCATTTTTCATAAGCAAATCTCCAAACCGTTGGTCAAAACCTGCTAAGAGACCTGGCAAAGACATCACTGGCAGCTTCGGGGTCTGCGTGGATGTTGAACTCAGTGACCTCAGAATCAACGACCCAAAAAGATGTTGGTTTAATGGTGGTTTAATGGTGGTTTAATGGTGGTTTAATGCTGGTTTAATGGTGGTTTAATGGTGGTTTAATGCTGGTTTAATGCTGGTTTAATGGTGGTTTAATGGTGGTTTAATGGTGCCCAAAAATGGTGGTTTAATGGTGGTTTAATGGTGGTTTAATGGTGGTTTAATGGTGGTTTAATGGTGGTTTAATGGTGGCCAAAAATGGTGGTTTAATGGTGGTTTAATGGTGGTTTAATAGTGGTTTAATGGTGGTTTAATGGTGGTTTAATGGTGGTTTAATGGTGGCCAAAAATGGTGGCCAAAAATGGTGGCCAAAAATGGTGGCCAAAAATGGTAGTTTAATGGTGGTTTAATGGTGGTTTAATGGTGGTTTAATGGTGGCCAAAAATGGTGGTTTAATGCTGGTTTAATGGTGGTTTAATGGTGGTTTAATGGTGGTTTAATGGTGGGTTAATGGTGGTTTAATGCTGGTTCAATGGTGGTTTAATGCTGGTTTAATGCTGGTTTAATGCTGGTTTAATGCTGGTTTAATGCTGGTTTAATGCTGGTTTAATGCTGGTTTAATGCTGGTTTAATGGTGGTTTAATGGTGGTTTAATGGTGGTTTAATGGTGGTTTAATGGTGGTTTAATGGTGGCCAAAAATGGTGGCCAAAAATGGTGGCCAAAAATGGTAGTTTAATGGTGGTTTAATGGTGGTTTAATGGTGGTTTAATGGTGGTTTAATGGTGGTTTAATGGTGGTTTAATGGTGGTTTAATGGTGGTTTAATGGTGGTTTAATGATGGTTTAATGGTGGTTTAATGGGATTTACCCTCTGGTGATTAAACGGTTTGCTATGGAAAATCACCATTTTTGAGAGGTAAATCATTTTGTTTATCCTCAAAAAATGGACAATTTTCCGCTATGTTAAATAGCCAGAGGGTATATCGTTTATATAGTGTCTTAAGTATAAAATTATTATCGATTTTCGAATATTAGAAGTGACTCCAAGCATAAGTTACCATCATTTTAATTTTAACTTAGATACTATATTTAGCACTATACCGGGAATTAAACAACAAGCAAGTGCACATAACTAACCAACAAAAAAAGGAGAGTTCCGAATCTGGATAGAATTCGATTGTCAAGAGGGAAAAGTGGTAGTTAATCCAACAAAAAGTTGGAAAATCGTAGAGATTAAACCCAGCAAAAAATTGGAAAATAGGGAGTTAACAAATATAGATAACAAGAGGTTTACCATGGGTCTATTACAGTACCTAAATTCTTCAAAATAAATTGCTTGATAGTGGGGCCATCATGGCTCGAACGTTGAAATGGGATAGTTAAACCATCTTGAAATATCAGTATTTCAGTTGTATTCGTCAGAAATGGGGATAGAAAAGTCACATCAAAAAGCATTCCCCAGAACCCATCAATGCTGCAAACAGAACAGGTCGAAAAGCTTGCGATGCACGACATGCCCCATCCTTTCAATCACCCAATTGACACCAGTAGTCTGTGCTACTTCATACTGTGGGAAACTCAATAATAAACCCGCCATTTCGAGATGGTTCATAGAACCCATTTATGGCGATTTTGGGGATTGTTTATTAGTGGGTGTATACCACATCAAATTGTCGCAAACAAACAGGAACAAGCAATCAAATCACATGTTCCATAGTCATAGGGATACCCCCAAATCATCCATTTTCGGATGTTCCATATTTAAACCATCCATCTATTTTGGGTACCCCCATGGCTATGGAAACCCCCATTGAACCCCGGGGGCACCCGACCCGGCCATGATTTCCACGAGCGTTGCCACAACCACCCATGACCTGCGCGACGTCATGATGCGAAGGCGTTACCGCACAAAAAAATAGTTTACTGAACATATTTTGTATCCACAAGATCCATATATATAATTATATAGTACTATTAATATTATTATTCTTTTATTTATATATCTATTTATTCATTATTATTATTGAGATTATTATCAATATTATATTACTATATTATATATATACCGTATATACCCCATTCCTACCATTCCTTACATCGTTACTAACTACGATACTTCCTGCCGGGCCATGTTTTGCGAGGTCCAAGCATCCCTCGATCAGGTCAAGACACCCAAAGGTCGTTGAGCAGCAGCGGAAGCCTCCACTGCACAGCAGTCGTTACCCTCTGGTAATGTATGGATAATCTATGGTTAATGGTTAATGGTTAATTTGATATGTGGATAATCTAAAATTAATGATAGTTACCCTCTGGTTATGTCAAAATAGCTATTGAAAATGGTGATTTATAGTGGATTTACCCATGAAAAATGGCGTTTTTCCATCGTTTTTTGTATGTTTACCAGAGGCTAATTGTTGGAGGCTGATGATGGAGAAACAGGAATCATCGACATAAACCCAAGTAGGCACAGCCTGGTGTTGTCGGTCAAAAAAACAACAATAACAATTTAGGATAAATGCTTGTTCTTAGGAATGACTAAGTCACTATACCATTGTTTATGTACAACAGAAACTAATTTGTCACGTAGGATTCAAAATGCTGTTTGAAGGGAACTTGTCTTTCCCCTTGTCTGATGATGGAAAATGTTGGAATTACCTGCTGTAAAACAAGTGCCTGCCTTGGAATTGTTGTTCCCCTCACACAAGACTTGTTCTTGCCAAGATACCCGGAAAACTTCAGTTGCAAAAACAATGAATGGGCAAAACAATCCCTCAGCTTTTACACCCCTGAAATAGGTCCGAAGTCCATTCAATTCTATTTTTGCAGGTTCCATGTTCAGTTTCCAAGGGTGATGATCTCTTACTTGCAGCTGGATATATGTCGCAGATCCTCCTGGGTCCACGTCGTTTACACCGTTGGAGAGTGATCAGTAGCCATCCCTTTGACGTAGCTGGTACTCTCATCTGAGATTGGAACGTGATGGTCATCTCACATTTGGAGCCATCACCGCCCTGGTACCACAAGGCTATCTCCCAGAAGCCCCATAATAAGGGGCCAAAAATGAAGCCCACATCATTCATGCCTTCGCCTTTATCACAAATAAAAAATCATAAAGAAAGTCTGAGAAACAATGGTAATTTCAGGATCCTAAATTGGAGGTACTGTACCATATAAGGCCATATCTTGTGGGGATATTCCCTTACATAGGCCTAAAAAATAGGCCTTACATATGGTAGGTACCTCCAATGAATCGGCTCCTGAAATGGCCATCTATCATAGCTTCTGAAACCTGAGCCTCCCCCCACCGCACCCAATCTTTGTTTCCAAGCGTCTCCGGTTCTGCTTTCAACGCCAGGGCCAGATTGGTCAGTGGGCCTGGGCCAAGGTTCAGCCATCAGAGCTGGGGGGTGGACTTGGATCGAAAAACCATGAGTACATGTAGACATATGTGTATGTGTATATATGTACATATAATAACATATGCATGTGTGCAAATGTGTGTGTATATATATATTATACAGAATACATTATATCATATATATATATATAACATCCAAAATCATCCTCCCAACAAGCTATGATGCTATGATAAGTTGCAGCAAAACAAAGTCCCCTTGGAACGGCTCAAAGACGCCAGTCACCAAGCAAGTTCTCAAATTGACTTCAGGAATCTTGTCTCAACTCCAGTCATCAACCTAACCCGCAAAACGATCTATCATCACTTCAATAGTCGTGTGCCTCACAACGACCTGCTCGGCTGTGCCCCACGGGCCCCACGGGCCCCACGGGCCCCACGGGCCCCACGGGCCCCACGGGTACCGCATGGCCCATTTTGCCCTCTCACACATATGCGATTAATTCCCAGGTGAGTGGGATTGACTCATAAGCTCATAAGCCCATATGTGGTTTTCCTAAAATAGGGCTACCCAAAAATCATCCATTAAAAAATAGATTTTCCATGAAATCAACCATCCATTCTAGGGATCCCCATGACTATGGAAACCTCCATTTCTGGCGCTGAATGGACAGATTCCCCGGCGCCTAGCGTCACCAGCGTCACCTCTGCCTCCTCCATCTGCGCCTCCCGCAGCAGCGCCAGCAGCGCGTCCGCCGCCGCCCGCGGCGACGCGTTCGGCGACGTCGAGGACGGCGAAGGCGGCGGAAGGGCCGCGGCAGGCAGCGCGTCGGAGGCGTCACCTGCGGAGTCTGGATGGTTTTGGAGGTTATAATCCAGCGGAAACTAGTGAGAAACTAGGTTATAAGTTATAACTGTAATAAATGGGATAAATCTAGTTAAAGAAACTTTCTAACTAGGGTCATTGACCACTGACTAAGTGCGAACTTGGATGTGCATCCCATTTATTAAGTGGGTTACAACCATATTAGAACATGTTGGAACCCAGGTTATGTATGGGAATATAGCCTAGTAATGTATGGGCCACAGTATCAACCTCTCATTCGCTGGGATTCAACCTCAAAATGGGATTGGCTTTTGACTAGCCAAAGCGAAAACCCTTAAATAACAGGTTCACGTGGGAGTTGTAGCCCCAAGTGGGGATTTGAATGGGTTATAGAGATGCAAGTTCCGTGGGGGTGTGCAACCGAGTTCTTTCTACCGTGAAAAAAACATGTACACCTTCAATCTCCAACGAAAACCGAGTCTTCTCCATCCAAAACCTGTTTTTGTCAAAAAAAAATGGGTACAACTACATTCCAGAGTTTAAAACCTCATCCCTATTGAAACAACCTATAGAATATTGTTGCTATATTGTTGCTATCCAGGACAAAGCCGGGTTCCAAAGGCTGGATCACCAGGCCTAGTCCATCAGAGCCATGAAAATGACTGGCGTTGATGGCCTGACAGCCGAGAAGAATTTCATGGCACATGGAAAATCATCACAGTTTGGGGTTCCAATCTTTGCTATTGATTTATGACCCGCATTTGCACATTGATTTATGGTTGTATCCTCAGGCTATTGATAATCACATCTTGATTTATTGCTGGTTATGCCGGTTAGTAAACCCATATCAATCCCCATCCAAAGTGTTCATCGTGTAACTAGCACCGTGTTGCGTATTACCGTCGCCATGAAGGTCACCGTTTCTCCATGGGAAATCTCCGGAAATGTCGGACAAGCCATGTGTAAATTGAGCCATCTAGCCCAGGATCACGAAAAATGCCACATATGGATCCTGAACGGCTCCAACAGCTGACTATAAACACAGCAGCCACAATGGATTGTTGGCGATGCACCATTGTGGATTCCTACAATCCAACTTTGGACCATGGGATATATAGTTTAAATAGATTCGATCATTGAATGATCGTCATTATCATTATTGATAACGCCAACATAGTGGTATCAACCATCATTGAATATCATTGATTGATATCAATTGATATCAACTTAGATCTTTCAACCAACATTGTTTGATGATAATATCAACCGGCCCATCTATTAATTGTGGCTCATATACCCATGACTGTTGGAAATCCAAAAAATGATGGTGGGATGACCATAACCCATTAATCCCATTTTCCATGATCATTATATCAACCTAAATGTCAACCATATTGATTAGTTAATTCGATATACTTCAATCATTGATTGATCATCACTAACCATAAACCCAACAAATCATGGTGGGATCACCACAATCCATGTATGTATATATATATATATATGTAGTCGTTCAATCCCATCAATGCTATGTAAATCTGTGTAACATGTATTGTATCCCAATTATATCCCTTTGTATCCCCATACAAACGTTGATGATATGCCCATAATATCCCTAGGCCCTATTAAACCCCTTCAAAACCATATATCATCATAATCCATATGTCATCTAGTAGATTTTATGTATCTATATCCCATGTAATTCCATATATTTAGCTCAAAAAAACAATATACCATCTATAGTGGAATTTATATACATTATCCCATTTAACTCCATGTGTTTAAGTATAAACCATATGTGGTAAGCCATATAACCAATATATGATTAGCCTGGAGTGAACGAACCCATGGTATCCCGTTTCGGAAAATTATCTGCAAATGGTTGGCGTTCCACATCTATATATGTTAGTTTACAGGAGCGTTTCACTATGTGGATTATCGATATTTCTATACTATCAATGACTATCATATAATATAGCCACTTAACTCTCCATACTGATGATGATGGTACATGGCCAAATAGCCAATGGTTAGTTAATATTATAATTATCCATATATGATTAAGTACAATCAAGATAAGTACTCACTAACCATATGATATAGCCATATTCATGATTGAGTGCCATACAATATGAGCATGAACCATATATGATTCAGTACAATTAACCATCAATATGAATATTAGGTACAATTAACTATATGTGATTATTAACTACAAAATGAGTATGAAGCACATATGACCAAGTACAATTCAATATTGGTTCATATAGTGGTTCATAAAGTACAATGAACTAATCCCATTATATATCCCATTCCTTAACCAGTCATTGATTAACATATATCATAAATTATACAAGATCCAGAATCCAAACATATATAGTTCATATATGTATGCCATAGAAATATGGATAGTTATATGATTAATCAAGTACTTAAATAACTAATCCCAGTGGGCCCCCGCCTTCTGAGTGCCATTGGGCCCCGCAGCCCCCAGCACCACCTTCGGCCACTCTGAGCTTGGCAGCTCGCAGGCGGCAAGGCCTAGATCCACTGGATCGGCAATCCAAGGAGATGCAGCTGAGATGGAATTGGATTCTGGATTCATTTCTGGATAATCCCACCATTTGGTGGTTAATATGTGGTTAATATATGGTTAATATATGGTTAATATATGGTTATTATATGGTTATTAATATGTGGTTAATATACTGTTAATTTGATGGTTAATGATAATGGAAATTATATGGTTAATGATGGTTAATAATAATAATAACCTGGTTGGTGGTTGACCTACCCCTCTGAAAAATGATGGAGTTCGTCAGTTGGGATGATGACATTCCCAACTGAATGGAAAGTCATAAAAAAAAAAAATCATGGTTTCAAACCACCAACCAGATTTAAATCTATTTGGATCTGAGATCGAGTTGTAGTGGGTAATATGCTGGTTAGTCTGATGAAACAGTATGAACTTGATAATATGAATAATCAAGCGGAAAGCCGGGTTGTCCTGCTTGAAAAATTAGGAAATTCGACGTGTATCTTACTGGGTCGACCTCAAGGATTTCTGCGCTTTGTCATCAAGAATGGATTGGGATACACTGATACCTGATAAGGGAATGAGACCCAAAAAAGGAGATTGTGTCAACCGAAAGCCAAAACATATGTGCCATAGGGTACATGGTTATGGCAATCCATTCAAAACGGGAATCCTGATATATATATATATATACATAATGGGTACATGCATCTCCATTATCCCTCGTTATGGGCATACTCAAGTTTTGACCATGGCACATATAGATAAGCCTATCAGCCTAGTGAGGTATGAAAACATTGTTAGGCTCTGAGAGGATACCAGAGTGTGTACGTGCACGTTCTTTGAGAGATACCAGACTTGAAGGCAAGGAGCAAACACCTTTAAATTAATGGGCCATTACCCTCTGGTAATTTAACATAGCTATGGAAAATCATCATTTCCATTTCCAATGGTAAAATCCACTATAAATGGCAATTTTCAATAGCTATGTTAAATTACCAGAGGGTACATGGATATACGCAGCAAAAAAGATGCATCACCAAAGGTTCGGCATGGGATACCCCGAACGCGGCAACTAATCTTGATAGGACTGGGAAATAGGGAGGTCATGCTTGGAACATCCCTGAAACCAACAAATTGTGTGTTGAAACCTTCCAGTCAAGGGCAAAAATTGCTATTTGTATCACTAAATATGAGACACATAATCTGTTACTTTTTAGCACTAGCAAACCATCCCCAAATTCATCATCAATGGCTGGGCATGAAAAACCATCCCCAGTCATGGTAAGTAAAAATGGCATCAGGTTACCCACAAAATTATGGATTATCATATATGGATTATATAGATATGATATGACCAAATGGTATGCACAAATTCCACTAGATGATATATTTATATATATTATATTATATCATATTATATTATATTATATCATATTATATTATATCATATCATATCATATCATATTATATTATATTATATAGATCGTTTATGATTGCGTATGGATTTGATAACGAGTTGATCCGCTTGATCACCGAGAGTTCTCCCTTTCGGCCGGGTCTCATTTCGCCACATTGATCCCCACCTGTGACGTGCGTGCTGGCCGGTGGGGCACCAAAGGTATTTTTTGGCGTAGGGAAACCACCGGAGTTAGTTAAACCTGGTTATTTACTGGTTTAACTGGTGATTTACTGGTGATTTAATGGTGGTTTAATGGTGGTTTAATGGGATTTAGTGGGATTTACTGGGATTTACTGGCAATTAAATGGGATTTACCCTCTGGTTATTTCACGTAGCCATGGAAAATCACCATTTTTGATAGGTAAATCACCGTAAACCATCTATATGTGGGCCATTTTAGCCATGTTAAATAACCAGAGAATAGATACCATGATATTATGATGCCATTATGCTATGATAGTGTGATTGATATAATGTGGTATACAATTGGTATACTATTATTATCATGATTATTGGACCATAATGACGTGTATATATATACATATCCCAATGATAATGACATAATCATCATGGAATATATGGTATGATACTATTGATCATCCAATGATTGAGAGTAATGATGTTTCTAAATACTAGAACTAATCAGCAGTTTCATGTAGTATTTGAATGCGAAAGACGTTCCTGAAATGGATAGAAACGCATGGATTTTCAGGGTGCTACTTCAGTACTTGTTGGATATATGATATATCATTGTGAGTGCCTCATGCAAGGGTACCTACCGAGAAAACTGGTCTTGACTTGCAAACGAAGTGAAATGGAGAAAACTCTGTGAAACCCTTACCGAAATTGTGTTGCGTTTACTGGTTTCCTCTGTTTCCTTTGTTTTTCTTGCTCCGACCAAAATTTGAGTTATGTATGGTTATTTGTTGTTTTTCCCCCTTTTTTGTGTTTTTATTTGTGTTCATTAGTTGTCCATTGTCCTTTATTTTTCCTGCTCTGACCAAGTTTTGGTTATGTATGTGTTTGATCTTTTTAATGATGTGTGTTTGGTATTTTGATGATATGTTTTTTTAGTTTTTATGTTTTTAATTTTCTTATGTTTTCTCATTTGTGCTTATGTTTCATTCTTTGGAGCTTTCCTAAGTCATGGGGTATCCCAAATCATCCAAGTCATGAACGACCATAATTTGAGTATTGAAACAAATGGTGACGACTGGGGATCCCCCATTTTAGGAAACCCCATTTTAGACTTTAGTAAAGTACTCTTCTATCTTTTTTTGGTGGGTTACCAGCTCGCTAATCTTGGGCACTCCACAAAACGTTTCCGCACGTTACCTGCTCCACCGAGCAGTTGCCAAAGCAACAGGTAATCAGTTTGAACCTTGGCACAGTGCGGCAAACCTTTCCATGGCAAGCGCAGTGGGGGTTACTAAACTAGATGTGTATCTAACATTGGGGAACCTCATAAATTCCCCTTTTGTGTGCTCTATGATGTCCACAAATTGGAAAATCAAACTATCAAAATTTGGGACCACTCAGATCCTGACCAAAAATTGGGGGGGTTACCCAAATTCGTGCCATTGACGGTTCTGCCAGGCCCTTTCACTTGATCGTACATCAATTTGAAACCAGCGATCATTTTGCCTTCCTCCCGTGCTTGCTTGCAGGCTGTATCGAACGCTTGGTCGGCTGATTTGGTCCAGTTTTCGGCTGAAATTTGTTCATGAGCATTTCACTGCGAAATAGGCAAAACACTTCTGGTTGATGCCCAAGTGCTTAACAAAACCAAGTTGAACCGCTTCTCTGCGTTGTTAGCACAATAAATTTGTTGCACGCTGGACTCCCATCGTCTGGAACCACATGCCTGTCAACAGTTTGTTGGTGATGACTTAGCATCTTGCATGCTCGTTCAGACATGGTCCCACGAATAAGTTGTTCCACTGCATTGAAATCGGCTATTCGATCTTCACAAGCGACCTTGTGAATCCGAAGAAACTGGCCTTGCAGTTTTGGGTATGACACCATATCCTTGACACCCAGAAACTGCAACACCATGTGCACAAAAATGTCACGTCTGTTGGACATGAGATCCTCATAACTCAAGTACTGATACCGTAAGCCAGTCTGTCGCAAAAAATATAACCAGTGTTTGTGTTCATTTTCTCTGGACTGCAAAACGGGTAACTCGCGGGCGGTGAATCGAAACATAGTGGCATTCCTTCTTGCTGCAGCCAATTGTGGATCCATCGTATGATGCGAATTTGCACCGACCAGATTCAATTTATTCACATCTACAGCTGTTTGATAGTCTGATGCCATATGCAAAATGACCCCCTCCCGAACAAGATGCACAATTCGCACCTTGCGTGCTTTCAAATATTCTTGAAACCATCCATCTGGCAAATTCGTGCCATTGACGGTTCTGCCAGGCCCTTTCACTTGATCGTACATCAATTTGAAACCAGCGATCATTTTGCCTTCCTCCCGTGCTTGCTTGCAGGCTGTATCGAACGCTTGGTCGGCTGATTTGGTCCAGTTTTCGGCTGAAATTTGTTCATGAGCATTTCACTGCGAAATAGGCAAAACACTTCTGGTTGATGCCCAAGTGCTTAACAAAACCAAGTTGAACCGCTTCTCTGCGTTGTTAGCACAATAAATTTGTTGCACGCTGGACTCCCATCGTCTGGAACCACATGCCTGTCAACAGTTTCTCGACACTTGTTGAAAGCCAGTCTGCCTGGCATTCCGAACGCCAATGAACCAAAAAAAACAATCGCTGCGAGAAGACTCGGCAGGAGAATGCGAATCCATTGCGAGCCATGCTGGCCACACACCATCATACCGGATTTTTTCCAGCGGCTGCTCAAAAAATAAAATGTGAAATATGTGTTTCACGAATTGTCACAACCACACTTCTTCTGCTGCCAGTTGAACTGTTGTGAACCCAAATTTAGACAATAACATAGTATTCCTATATTTGTTTATAATGAAATATTTATATTTCATTTTATTTCCAAACATATGATATTCATTTACTGTTTTGTGTCAAATACATACATGGGTAATACATAAAATACATATATTGTACATATATCATATGTAAAAAAAAATGATAACGCATATATAATACAAATATAACACATATATGATCCATAGATAAAGCGTATATAATAAATAAATAATATACATTACATATATAACTCGTACACAATACAAAAAAAGGCAAACATATATTTGTTACAAAAAAACGCAGCTACTATATACACAAAAAAAGTGTAATACTAAATATGATACATATAATCCTTTTTAAAATAAAAACATGTAAAATACATGCGTAATACATATGTAATACACAAACAACACACATACAATACATATACATCAAATTAAATACATGTATCAAAAGGTTTTGACAAGTAAAATGCAAATAAAACACATATATCATACACATAAAACAATTGATCTAATACAAAAAAATTACGTATAGTACATATAAAATACATAAAATACATATATAATACTTATAAATATATAATAAATAATACATATACAGTACATATATGTATATTACAAAAAATACAAGTCTAGTACATATATAATACATATAGAAGACATACATGACATGAAAAACATAAAAACATACTATACATACAGAAAACACCTTTAGCATCGTGCCAGGTGGTGCCGCTTGAAACTGCAGTTTGGGACCCAAATTTTTGGCACTTGGACTTGGTCTGCTTCAATGATGGGGTCAAACCTGGAATTTCCAAAATAGTGGGGATCAGCATCGCAAGTTAGAGATGGAAATAAGAAGATAATTTTTGTTTGGTATTTTGATTGGTATATCATGGTATATCCCATATCAGTATTTGTTGTTTGTAACCACCAACCAGACATCTATCTTCTGTTTCTCACACTTGGGGGTACAGGGGTTGCTTCAACTGTGCAGTTGGTTCCAGAACTAGCAGGTGAGCAGCCCGACCACTTCCAAGGAACTCAAAGTCACTCTGCTTGGCCAGCCTGGTACAATCAACTCGAAAGGGATTTGTGAGTGACATACCCTCCAGTAAACTAATATAGCTATGGAAAATGACCAATCTATAAATTTTTTACTTATAGACAGCCTATCCAGCCAACATCACTCAACTATGACCTATGATTTCTCCCCCGAAATGTACGTGCTCACAGAGATTTTCAAAAAGAAACAACCACTCAGGGCACTCTTTGGCAGACCCTGAATACATTCAAATATCCGGTTGTCTGAAGAAAGTGGTTACAAACTGTAGGTTCCCAGATGCTTGCCAACCATCATCTATGGTGACAGGTTTGCTTCCAACACTTGAGATACCTCTCACTGGCTTGAGCCATGGGACCCACATTTTATCGACCAACGTTTGAACCCCTCAGGAATTCTGAGGTAATGTACTGTACCCTCTGGTAAACTAACATAACTATGGAAAATCACCATTTTTAATGGGAAATTCCACTATAAGTGGCCATTTTCAATAGCTATGTTAGTTTACCAGAGGGTAAATGTTCATGAATTGATGGTTATCCCCACTACATCCCCAGTATTTTTTGTTGAGCCAAAGCCAGGCGACCTCAGTGCCATGCACAGTGCAAAGGCGTCGTCGACGCCTGTGTTCCGCAGCAGGTTTTTGGGGATTTCTTATCCCTGGTGGGTGAGCCATCCAAAGAATATGAAAGGCAACTATATAATATGGCGATTCATGGTGACAGATTGTGATTATATCAACAAAAACTTGGAATGCCTTGGATATTTAAATCGGATGAACCGGGACTAATGGTAATTGACGGTGATTCCTAACGATAATCCATGGGAAAAAATTGGAATTCTGCTGGGGGTTAATGATGACCCCTCCGGTAATCAAACATTGCTGGCTGGGAATTCGCGAACTACAGGGATGTTTACGACAGGAAAATCATTGAACTGCTGGGGGATTTTACAGCTACTAGTTGGTGGCTTCAATCCCTCTGAAAAATATGAGTCAGATTGGATCATCATCCCAGCTATTGGGGAAGTCATAAAAGTCATGTTCCAAACCACCAACCAGATATATAACCAGCATATTCCCATTGTTGGTTTATACCATCTTTAACCACTATTAACCACTATTAACCAGATATATCACCATTGATAATCATTATCCGCCGACCCCGGCCTTCGCCAAGGCAGGGGCGGCGCCTCGGACCACCGCAGGTGTGGAACTTGTCTTTCTTCGCAACAGGCATCCCAAGGCCACGTCAATGGCTTCTTATCGGCGTCCAAGCCTGCCGTTTGCCAGCCCCTAAAGGCTTAAAACCCTTAAAACCCCTAAAACCCCTAAAACCCTTAAAACGCTTAAAACTCTTCAAACGCGTCTCGGAACGCCCAACCGCGCAGGCAAAAGCTACCCCCAAGCCACATCAATGCGGAACGCCCAACCGCGCAGGCAAAAGCTACCCCACGGCCAGATCCATCGCTTCTTCTGGGCGGTCCAGCCTGCCGTTCGCCAGGCGTTCGCAGCCAACAGGCACCCCAAGGCTACATCAATGGCTTCTTATGGGCGTCCAAGCCTGCCGTTTGCCAGCCCCTAAACGCTTAAAACCCTTAAAACCCTTAAAACCCCTAAAACCCCTAAAACCCTTAAAACCATTAAAACTCTGCAAACGCGTCTCGGAATGCCAAACCACGCAGGCAAAAGCTACCCCCAAGCCACATCAATGCGGAACGCCCAACCGCGCAGGCAAAGGCTACCCCAAGGCCAGATCCATCGCTTCTTCTGGGCGGTCCAGCCTGCCGTTCGCCAGGCGTTTGCAGCCAACAGGCACCCCAAGGCCACATCAATGGCTTCTTATGGGCGTCCAAGCCTGCCGTTTGCCAGCCCCTAAACGCTTAAATCCCTTAAAACCCTTAAAACCCCTAAAACCCCTAAAACCCTTAAAGCCTTTAAAACTCTGCAAAAGCGTTTCGGATCGCCCAACCGCGCCGTTCGCCAGGCGTTCGCAGCCAACAGGCACCCCAAGGCCACATCAATGGCTTCTTATGGGCGTCCAAGCCTGCCGTTTGCCAGCCCCTAACAGCCCCTAAACGCTAAAAACCCTTAAAACCCCTAAAACCCTTAAAACTCTGCAAACGCATCTCGGAATGCCAAACCCCGCAGGCAAAAGCTACCCCCAAGCCACATCAATGGCTTCTTCTGGGCGGTCCAGCCTGCCGTTCGCCAGGCGTTACTCGCTTCAAACCCTTTAAACGCTTCAACATTCTCTTGGCATCCCTAATCTCAATGGCTTCTTATGGGCGTCCAAGCTTGCCGTTTCCCAGGCCGTCAACGCTTTTCTGGCAAATTTTCTGGCACGCCAAATTCTGCGGGCAGAACCCCCCCAAGGCCAGATCAATCGCTTCTTCTTGGCATCCAAGCCTGCCGCTTGCCAGCCTTTACAAGCTTCAAAAGGTACCCCAAGGCCAGATCAATGGCTTCCTCTCGGCGTTCAAGCCTGCCGTTTACCACCTTTTTCCTTCACAACGCCGTCCTTGACAGAAAACTGCTTCCCACAGACCGTTCGATGGTCTATTTGCCCTGTCTTCACGGGTGTAAAAAAACAAAAGAGTCCTTCCTTTCCTGAAGCTGCAATGGACTTATTTAGCCCAAACTTCCCTCCAAGGCACTCCACACCAGCTCTTTTGCGTTTTCCTCCTGAGAAATTCAGCGCCAGCTCCACATCGGCCACCTTGCCAGCAACAACCGACTCAGGAACCACTCCATTGCGCTTCCACGTCAAGCGACACTCAGCACCACCGATGGCCAGCATGTCGTCCAACTTCACAGCAATGGGCGCAGGATGGTTGAGCTTGCAAAGGACACGAACCCCATCAGAATCATCTTCGTCACCGCTTTCCCCAGCCAGGATGAACTTATGACATGGATACTTTTGAGAAGTCCCAAACAAGTAGACAATCCTGCCCTTGGTGCTGATGCTGGTGACAGGAGGATGCGTTCTGGCAACCAAGTCCCGCAGCGAGACAACCGTCCCACTGGCAGTGGGGCGAGCCGCTGCTTTAGGGCTACCACCACCCATGCTAAAGCGAGGCATCCTGCTACGTACAAGAAGTGCTAGCAACGTACTGCAGCTTATGGCTTGCCCCTCGCTGCCAGAGCCAATGCAACAGCACAGCAATATGTGGATTTCTCGCCTAGAAATTTCTACTTCCACCTGGCTCTCCATGAAGCCCCTCAAAAAAGAATTAAAAAACAAGCACTTCGGGTTCCGACATGGCCCTTCTCCTGTAAAAACTGGTACTTTCCCTATAGACAATGTCACACGGTGCACAAATGATGCACCTCATAAGGACCCGGTGCAAAGTAGAATAAATGAAGCTTTGCAACCGCTTGTTCACCTGGATCATCATGAACCGTACTCTCCATACAGCAGGGAACACCCATTGTGAGTTTGGGGAGAAAGCATCACAGTAAGGCTCCTGCTGGATGATATGCATTAAATGCCCGGTAGCGCATCGGGCTCCCGCGCTTCAACGCTTCGGATCCGCGGATCAACCGATTCGCGCTGGACCACACGGCCAGCGGTGGATGAATGGCTCGTGCGTGTTGAGTCTTTATTGGTATGAACCATTGATTTGGTTGTGATTGCTGATGATTGTGTAAGATTTTGCTTTGGTTATGATTCTGATTGCTGATGGTTGTTTATAATTCTGACTTGGTTATGATTGTTGATGATCCTTTATGCTTCCGACTTGGTTTTGATTGTTGCCCATTGTTTATACTTCTGACTTGGTTCTGCTTGTTGATGATTGTTTACAATTAAGATATGGGTCTGATTGTTGCTTATTGTTTTTCATTCTGCTTTGGCTATGATTACTGATGATTGTTCATGATTCTGATTTGCTTCTGATTGCTGATGATGTTTTAATGATTCTGATTTGGCTATGATTGCTGATGATGGGGTAAATTTTGATTTGGTTTTGCTTCTTGGTGATTGTTTATAATTCTGCTTTGGTCTTGACTGTTGATGATTGTTCTTTTCATTGTTGATGATTGTTTATAATTCTGATGTCGTTCTGATTGTTGATGATTGTTTATACTTATGGTTTGGTTGTGACTGTTGATGATCGTCTGTAATTCTGATTTGGGTATGATTGTTGATTCTCGTTTTTAATTCTAATTTGCCTATGATTGTTGGTTGTTGTTTATAATTCTGATTTGGTTGCGACTGTTGATGATTGTCTATAATTCTGATTTGGGTATGATTGTTCATTATTGTTTTTAATTCTGATTTCGTTATGATTGCTGATGATTGTTTATGATTCTGGTTTGGTTGTGATTATTGATGTTTTTTTCATGATTTTGATTTGGATATGATTGTTGATGATTGTCTATCTTAGTAGCTCCAGCACGCAGCACGCGCAACGTACCGTTGCAACACGCTGTTTCGCAACGCAAGGGCTTTTGGTATGATCAACACATATGGATGCATTTACTTGAAGATTAAAAAAACATCCGCTAAGGTTCCAGGCTTTGGGGGAGCCCAAAAATATATATGTTGCCGGATGCTTTTTTTACGGTCAACTAAATGCATTTGTCGCAACACAAGGGATTCTGGTATGGTCGACACATATGGATGCATTTACTTGAAGCTTAAAAAAAAATCAGCTAAGGTTCTAAGCTTTGGGGGAGCCCAAAAGTATACATGTTGCCGGATGCTTTTTTCACACTCAAGTAAAGGCATTTCTCTGGGGGCCTGTGCAAGAGAAAGGCCTTTTTCACTCCTCCACATTTCCCCGAGTGGAAGCTCAGCTTTCCTACACACATACTTGTTGCTGCCACATATCTAGGGTTTTGTATTTTACCAGGTCAACCGACAATGGGGTAAAATGCACTACAAACCGCTAAGCTCTCAGCTCTTTTTGAACCAACGCTATCGGGTAGATCGATGATATATACAATACATGGTTTTACTGCAGGAGTTTTTACACCCCCCTCGGGCGAGCAGGGACGACTGCGGAGAACGAATAACCCAGAAAAGCATACCCTCGCGGGTAGCCAAATTTCTTTAGTTGGTTTTAGACATTTTGTGCAGTCTTTCAAAGGTCCCTCTAAAAAGCTCAAGCCCGTAAAACCCAGCGCAGCGTTGCAAGGAAGGCACATTACCATGCCACATCTTGCGCTATGCTACAAAAGAAAATCATCGTCTCCCTAACGGTTCCAAAAGATCCAACGGCCGCCGGCCTCGTCACGGTAATACCAAGCCCCACGCCAGAAACTCCATTCTCGGCGTGCACCATAGTGATCACGATTCCAACTCCAAGAGGCATCCGGGCGACCGGAGCTTGCAGCCTTCGAAGTGACTCCTGCGGTTGCTGCTTTTGCAGTGGGCGGTGTCTCAGGCTCCAAGAATGGTCGTGCTCCTGCTTTGGATGTTGGTGGTTCAGGTACCAGAAATGGTGCGGCTGGGGCATCAGCGTGCGAGGCATCTGCGCGAGCAGAGCTTGAGGCGGCTGTGACATCTGGTGCGGTTGCGGATGCATCAGCTTCGGCTTTGCGCTTTCGCTCAATGGTGGGCGCGACCGTGGGGTCGGCCTTATGACCTCCAGGACCTCCAGCCTTTGCAGCGGCGCTCTG